AACAAGGCTCAAAGAACCGAAATAAAATCTCGGGGACAAAACTTGCCAAATAAATTAGAAAACAGGTAAGAAGAAGATTAGTACTACAAAGCTAAAAGTTAGAACCAGCTGAAAAGATCAAACACCGTTGAGATGAACTATTTAAAATACAGTACGATGTTTTCAAGACCTAAAGATATAAGAAAACGAATGCAAGCAGTGGCAACAATTTTGGATAGAACATACCTGACAGGGATAAGAAATATGGCTATCAATAATGTTTCATTGGACTTCACTAGAACGAAAGAAGTGAGACTAAGATGAGTTTGAAACGAGGGAATTAAATAAGTATTTCGTAAGATGGTAACGTCTTTGAGGCGTATGAATCAGTGGCGCACCCAGGGGGGTTTTGGGGATTAACCCCCCCAGGACCCTATTCCGGCACTGTTATTTACAAATTTTAAGGACTTAAAATGGTGTAGGTAGCATAAAAAAAATTCGGTGACCAACCAAACCCCCCCCCCCCCAGAGGATAATTCTAGGTACGCTACTGGTATGAATGTAAGGGATTAAGAACAAAAAGTGATAGCTTGATCGACTTTTGTCGGCAAAAAGAGGTGGTTATTACGAACACATGGTTCTAACTCCCAAAAAGTAGATTACACATCTATTATAAGCACATAAAAAAGATCACATTAGACGCAATCAAATAATACAATTATCAAGATCAAGAATATTTCTCGTGATAATTAAACCTTCCTGTATTGTGTACCTGTAGCTCTATTGAGCTAACCACTGCGACAGTTTCAGTTTCAACAATAAGAACAGCTGATAGATTAATATCCTCTGCCAGGAGATGCCTCTATTAGAAAAAGAAAAAAAGCAAACAATATTTAGCTATATATCGGAGTATAAATATATTTTTGTATCGAATTCAATAAATATATACCTATATATTACAAAAATTACTGCATATAGGGTAACGAAACTATTATTAATTTGGGCAAACATGCAATAGCTGTATAATGCTTATTACCAAGAAATCAATATGGATTCGTAGGTGCATACTACAACATATTGTACGTAAATGTGCTGCATTTCATGTTTAATAAAAAAGCCTAATACTGTTTTTTTAAGATTTATCGACAAATAATGTAAATAAGCAAAATGATTTATATACCCATATTAAAGTATTACGTTCCCAGATTAGCAGCGGCTTTTGGCAACGTTGTTTTAATAATCAGCGCTAACAGACAGTACGGTTAACGGTGACGAACGCGCGTGCGTTCATGCCACCTAAACAAGTGAAGTTCGCGGTCGTCTATGTAAACGGCGGAGTTGCTAAGCAACACGTTACCTAAATCTTGTTCTGCAATAATGATTGGTGGCATAGAGGCAATGGCTGCCGCGCAGTGTACTCCGTTTTACGCACCCCATCAACAGACTCTTTACCGAGCGGTAGACGAGAAAGATAGACTTCCTTTTATATAAATCAAATATAAGCAAGAGAGACATGAAATAAGTAATTTGTAAATTAGTTGCGGATGTGTCAGAGTTAATGGAGACAAGCTGTTGACGCTTGATAAATTTTATATAGATTTTTAATAAACATGATAATAATACTTTGTTTTTCGTTATAAAAAAATGTCAAATACTGGGCGTACATTCACTACCTTTGTGAAACACGTTAAATGAACATGCGTTAGGGTATCTTCTTTATAGTTCTGGATTACGTAGATAATTTGGTAGGATTACATAAAGATTGCGGTGAAAAAAAAAACAAAAAAAAAAACAAATCCACCAAATAACAGTTTAATTTTTGTACTTTCTTAAATGTATTTAGAATCCGAGAATAGATCAATAAATGCTGTTAATTATAAAGGACGACAAAAAATTTGCCTGAGAAATGGTCGCTGGCAAAGAGTCGTGACACTCCAAAAAGGTAAACACAGAAATACCACTTAAAAGCGAACCCCAGACAAGAAATAGAGATAGAACATGTATGAAGTGTTAAAATCATTCACTTTTTCCGCACGATTCATTGTCGGAAAACTACAACACAACAATTCCTACTTGTCAGTATTAATAGCTCAAGTATACTACTATTGCAGACTTCTTTTTAATTACTGAATGACTTATCTAATATTAAATTATAACTTCTCTCGATGATCTGGTAAAACTGGTAAAAAAATTTGTGTTAGATGAAGTTTTTGTGAAAATTTATGCTTTTTGCAAAATACATACAAATTTAGTATTGTTTATATAAATAAACAACGGTTATTCAAACGTACTAAAAACTAAAGGAACATACCCATAAAAAAACAGAACACTACACTGCACTAAGTAACTACATATAGACAAAATAAAAATAATGACATATTTCTTTTTTCATCATCAAAAAATATTTAGCATTGTGATTGCTTCTGCTGTGCTTGGTTGTAAAAAGAGTAAAAAACTACGAGGAATTGGAGGAAATTAAGAGGAATGATCTAATCGGTACTTAAACTTTTTCAGCCTGTACCGGCAAGGTATACGTGCTGCAAACAACCAACCTTGTTCCCTGCTCCTAAGAGCAAGAATGACGCCGGAACAAAAATTCGTTCTTAACGAGAATGAATGGAACATCATACTAAGTGGCGTAATTTTTATATAAGCAGAAAAGAGAAAAAACGAATTAAAGAGCAAGGCAGTAAATAAATCTCCTTGGAAGTGGCACTTGACTAATATAAACAGACTCTTGTCTTTGTTTACGTTTATTAGTTTAAAACGCAAAAATATAGAGACTACACTGATTTTTATTATATACAGAATAAACAGCAAATGCTACAACTTTACTAAGAAACAAAGAATGATTTGAGAAAACGTTTTACGATATATTTACCTGATAGACGCCAAAAAGTGTGGATTAGATATAGGAAATGCTAGGCCTAATGTTACTTCTCTTCTAAAGTACTGTTTGGTGGTGGAGAAGTAATGGCAAGGGGCGGCATTTCTTTGGAAGCAAATATAGGTTTTCTTAGCTTAGGGAGGTGGCGTTAATGCTGATAGGTACATTAGAGAATATCTGAAAGAACATGTGGTACCGTATGTGCATTTTGTAGTTGAAACGTTTCTCCCAATGGGTTTACTGCACATAACAATGCAATAGTTTATAGATGTTGGTATTCGAGTACTAGCCTGCTAGGAGTCCAGACCTTAACCCCATCATAGAGCATTTGTGAGGCATCTTGGGAAAAGTAGATAGACAAAATTATGGTGAGTTTGAAACTGTGGTAGCGTTAAACAGGTAGCTGGTAAACAAATACCACAAAACGAGATCTCTATGCTTTGGTCCAAGCTATGCCACAAAGGATGAGGACTATTATTTAAGCTCTAGGAGGAAATAATCTATTTTATTATCAATATTTTAGAATTATTTTATGATTTCAATTTGAAATATATTACTCCAAAATAAACAAATTTTGTAACTTTTTATTTGTTGTAAAATAAATCAATATTTTGGAGCTTGTTTCTCATTTTATGGTTTTTTATAACATTTAATAAAAAAATTATTGAAATTTAAGTTTTTTTATACTTTTTAATTTTCCAACTTAGCGTCCGGGTAATTTTGCGCAGCAGTGTATATTATAACTAGAACTAATTAGGTTAAATTTAAATAAATTAATAAATGGATATAAAGACTCAAATATTAGGACCACACAAACAATTAGCCAGCAGATAAGTAAAAAATAGATTCATAAATCACATAAAATGTCAAGTTTTAGTTTGATGATAAAATAACTACCTAATTATTTGATACAAACCTAATTTAGTTCTTAATTTAGAATTAATAATTGATAAAAGTGGGCGCAAACAACAACAACAACCTGTTTTAAACGAGAAGTAAACAAAAATAGCCCAGAAATAATTAAATGATCTTAGATATATTATACAATACAAGAAAAAGTGTAGAATTAAAAATACAAGATATAATTAGGGGATGTCTAACTTAAGATATTGTTCTGAAGCTATTTTCTTGTGACATTGTAAATTAATTACTATTAAACTGGGAATAAGCCACAATTAAAGATAAAATTACGTTTATTGACGTTTCAATTTCCACTTCGGAAATCGTTCTCAAAATAAAAACAGTAAATTTACTGTTCTGTACTGTTACTGTATTTACTGTTTGTATTTTGAGAACGATTTCCGAAGCGGAAATTGAAACGTCAATAAACGTAATTTTATCTTTAATTGTGGCTTATTCCCAGTTTAATAGTAATTAACTTAAGATAGTTGGGGCAGTATCGTTATAATCATTCAATATACTTAACTGTTTGTTCAAATGTGTAAAATGAATAGAAAGTAACAAATTGGTAGATTACAGTTAGATTATATGTTCAGATTCATATTCGTATTTTTAATAAATGATTTTCTCATGGAAAAAAAAATACTGTTTAGGCAATGGCTATTAATATAAATACTATTCTCCATTGAAAATGGTGAAAAACTCACTTCAAATGCAGCTGTATAGACACAAATGATCCCTCTAATTTGACAGTGGTTCCAAAAAAACAAAAAGTTCAGAAAATCATTTTGGGTATTTCTAAATTGAACTTAGGAGTAAACATCTGGAAAGTAAACAGTGTATTCACCGTTTTGCCTGCATATTTGTCAATATCAATGATATGTTCAAAGTAAGATGCACATTTACATGCAATCGATCAACAACAACAACTTATTGACGATTTGCAGCATGATTTGAAACTATTTTAGCACAATAAGCAGAAGATTTTGCGTCGATATGTGGCAATATATGAAATATCTTGATATCCGCTACTGAGTTCTAAATTAAAATGGAAGTTAGCTGCCTGAAGAGCAGCAAGCAAAACGTCCAAATCAATAAAAGTTGCAAAAATCAGCAGCTAAGCTTTTGATTTTTGTTTTGCACGAGGTAAATAAGGAATGCAAGTGTTTGATAACAAAGCTAGTAATATTAATATGTTTGAAAGGGTCATTACAAAAATACGTTACAAAAGACAATGCAGAGTGTTGTAAGTAAATCGCAACAGGTTGACATACTTTTTTCTCTTTTACAACTATAGTTCAAGAAAATAACTACATATATCACTAGCTATCAATCCTATAAAATCAAAAGGCATCTACTTCATAGGTTTTATGATAAGTTGCAATCATATCTATGATACTTCCTAGTTAGACACCAAGAAGAATTCACTGACTTGTACCCAGCTGAATCACGTGTACCCCAAGGTATTGCTCTTGGACCTGTACTTTACCCAATGTACACCATGGATTTCCTAACAACACATTTAGCGCTACAATAAATACATTCGCGGGTGATACTGTAATATTATCAACACATCAAAATGCAGACACTGTTACTAAAAACCTACACAATTGGCTGAACAAGATTGAACTTTGAGTAAATAAATGAAAAATGCAAGCAAATGAAGCTAAATCCAAACATGTAATTTTCACAATCAAAAAGGGATACATACCTGCCCACCGGTCACAATGTGCGGAATACAGCTTCAAGAAATGAATGACGTAAAGTACTTTAGATCGACGTATGATATACCACACCAAATATACCAACTGGCTGATTGGTAGGATAGACAGACTAAAAATAGCAGATAAACTAATCTAACAAATCAATCTTAGTTCTACAATCAATCAAGTTGGTATGTACCTACATAGGAAATATAACTCTGGGGTGCTGCTAGTAACCTAAACCTTGTTTGCTGCAGCAAAAAAATAAGCTCTTACACCACTACAGAAGCAATCAAGACTTATATTTGTTTTAAATCATTACCTACAAAATCAAGTTTTTTGGGACACAATAATATTTACAGTTGAGAAAACTTTTCAACCCTCTAATAAGGGCAAAATTGGGGTGTATAGTCTAGATAATAATATATTTTTATGTTTAAAATGATTGAATCGAGCGGACTTGACTAATAGATCTAGCTAAATAATATTAATATGTTCAATAATAGTATAGTAAACTAATATTAAAGGTGTCTAAAACAAAATTGGGAAATTGTATGGTATGCTCTCTGTAATCGAAGCAATAATCTTTATATAAAAATTCATCCAGTTTTACCTTCAGAGCCGTTTGCCGTAAGTACCCCAATATTAATATTTATTCCATATTTGTTAGATGTCTCTTTAACCATGCCACTGTCAAGACATACCTCTATAGACTAAATCTATCCGAATCAGAACTTGGTGATTGCAATGGTTATGCTGATGATATTAATTATTGGCTGTTTGGATGCAAGCATAATGATGATGCAATTAAGTATTTCATGCACACTCTGGCTCAAGAGCAAATACCACAACATCAAACTTGTCTCTTATACTCATCATTATGCTTGCATATCTAATCTATCAAAAAGGACTATCTAAGAGAAAAATCTAACTTTTTGGAATGAGTCGGCTTGACTGTGTTTAGCAATTATTGTTTTTGATATTTATTCTTATATAATATTAAGTACCTGCCTGTAAAATATAAAAATTGTTATTTTTCCTTATTTGTCAAAAAATTTCACTTCGCAAAATATCCAGTAAATTACATTTTGTATTAATCTAAAACTGCTTTGTTTCAGATCGTCCTCAATTCCATGCACCGGTATCAGCCTCGGATTCATATAGTTAAATGGCGGGAGCATTCCGGACCCATAAACGATCTGGAAGCCGAACAGTACAGAACCTTTATATTTCCCGAAACTGTGTTCACAGCCGTAACAGCGTATCAAAATCAGCTCATCACAAAATTAAAAATTGATTCTAATCCTTTCGCGAAAGGATTTAGGGACTCTTCGAGACTGACGGATTTTGATAGGTAAGTTGGTATCAGAATTACTCTAATTAAATAAATAAGATTAATAAAATAAATGTAAATTGTATTTTTCATAACAATCAATTTCCATTATAAAATACTATTTAACTTAACCTTCCTACTCTCTCGAAGTAAATGTTACATTCTTTGTCTATGGGTACGAGTGGACCCAGTGGATAAAACTCATAGCTGTTGTAAATTAAATTCCATTTTTTTATTAATTCGATGTATTAAAACTAAAAATATTTTTTTTGTAATAAAACATAATACAACTTTATAGTCAATTAAAATTATATATTTATTCAATGCAACTTTTGCAAAAGATATTTAAATGATCAGGACAAATAAACCTCTTGACATCTTGTACGAGATTTTCTGTCTTTTTCCCATCGGCAGTCTTTACACCTTCCACTTTTTGGACTTTCATTTGCATTTCCACTTATTCCAGCTACTACATGTAAATTTATTTGATTTTTTGTGGAACGTTTGTTATCATTTGGGTAGTTTGGCATTTTTCTGTTAAATTATATACCATTTCTTTTATAAAAAGCTTTCTTTTATGTAGTTTGTTCCTATTATATTGAGGATTTACATGCACATATGCGTTAATTACTGCCAAATCTAAAATATTACCAAATAAGCAAAGTGGCCACGTTCTAGTTCCTCTTTTGCAGGTATAAGCTGATGGTAATTTATCTGTTGTATTTACACCTCCTTTGGTTTTATTGTATTCTAAAATAATGTCTGGTTTATTATGTTCTTGCAAAGACACCTGGTCATCTAAATGCATCGAGGACAAAAGAATAACAGATTTACCCTTTTTAGGACTATATGAAACTAAAGTCATATTCTTCTGAAACCCAAAAATTAATGATAGGGCTTCTTTACTTTTATTTGGTAGAAATTCAACTGAAATAAAAGTTTTGTTCTTTCGTAATATTCCAATTAGTGTTAGTTTACGTTTTAATAATTCAATCGCTAAATGGTAGTCATTAAAAAAATTATCCGTGGTTATCTTTCGCCCATAATTCTGAGCATCTTTTATAAGTCACAAAACCCTATTTCTGCCCTGATATAAGTCACGGGGCTAATTTTCTGTTTTTTCTGTATACACTTCTGCACAATACACACGCAGTTTTGACATCAGATAAAAGCCATAATTTAATTCCATATTTCCCACGCTGTTTTGTTGAAATATACTGTCTGAAGTGACACTTACCTCTAAATGGTACAAGTTGTTCGTCGACAGTTAGTCTTTCATATGAAACTAACATTTTGGGAAGTTGTGCTACAAATAAATCAAAAAAACTTCTAATTGGAGCTAACTCATCGTGCGTCCGTCGAATAGGTCAATCCTCTTTATTATCAAATCGCAAAAAGTGGCTGATGTTACAAAATCGTTTCAGAGACATAGTATCTCTAAAACTGGGCCTACCATCAGAATTGCTCCAAAGTTTCTATAGAGATTCTCGAGCACCTTTATGAACACCAGCCAGAAGAAGTAAACCATGAATAAAAATGCAAAATTTCAAGTTAATTTATTTTATAACTGTAATGAACGTATTTACCTATATTTCTAACTCTTCCAGTGATATTTCTTTTACTACTACTACTAGTGTTGCCCAAATACAAGAACAAGACTAGATGTAGACAGTCTTGGTCTTGGTCTTGCACCAATATACCTGGTCTTGGTCTTTGTCTTGGTATTGCGCTCCCAGTCTTGGGCTTGGTCTTGGTCTTGCAGCAAGAGTCTTGCAAGTCTCGCAAATACCTATTAGCCTATTGCTATTTATTAAACGTTACTTTAGATCTTGAACAACGTAACACAGTAGTTACATTTTAAGCTTGAATTAACATAGCCATAAAAAGACCAACCAAATTAATGAATGTCTAAACAAGTGACACTGAGTGGGGTTTGAACCCACGATCTAAGCGATCCGTGCCTATGCTCTAACTAGCTGAGCTATCTACCATGTCCCACGGGAGTCAGTCCTCCACCACTCTAAAATGTCTTCCGAGTTAGCGGCTCTGGGTTTACTTGGGTACTCCTCCAACTCGTCAATAACTAAGCCTCGATGACAAGATCATGATGAAGTCTAGGAGCATTCATACAGTTTCTCAAAGTCTATTAAGTCTTCATCTTTATCATATTCAGATACTTTCTTTTTATTTCTTGGTGATTCTAGAGATTTATTTACTGGGTGTAGAGGTTTATATTCTTTGTAAAGTTTATTAAATTTTCGCAGGCTTTCTGTTTTAATTGGCTTCCCCCATAACGTCATGTCAAAAGTCTGAGCCTTATGCCTTGGGCCTAAAATTAAAGAGATACAATAAATCCAGTTGCTCGTCTTATAATGTTTAAGCATTTTTTCTCGAGCTGCTTGAAAACCAAGAATGAGCCTTTTATCCACTTCAGATCCATTAGGTTCCTCATCTAATTGTTTTACGATGGATTCAATTTTATTGAGCAAGAGATTGAATGATACAATCACTAGTGGTAATGTAACATATTTTTCTCCACCAAGTTTTGTTGACAAAAGTTTAAAGTTTATTAGAAACTTATGTACTTTTTCGAGTGTTTGCCAGTCACTATCTGTGATGTTAAAATTGTTCAATTGTCCGTTTCATTGTCAGTTTTACTGTATAATGCTAAGGTATTTAATGGATCTTGTATGTATCTTGTACCGAAAAAAAAACGAGAATTATTATCGTTACTTCGTTACATTTAATATATCGGTGTTTTCTTACACTGTAATCGGCATTATCTCTTTGTTTGTTTATCTCGTTACTTTTGAATATTAGCCACATTCTTTCAGCAAATTTTGAATGGTATCACGGCATACTCGGAAAAAAGATGTTTAGTCTTAGCCGATAAGATTTGTGGTATTTAAATTCCTCGTAACTAAATTATAAGGAAAAAAATATGCTAACCTAATTATATTTTTTATCAGCTAAGGTGATACATTTTTAAAATGTTTCGATACGATATTACTGTCGGCGTCGCAAAGCAAATATTTTATTATTAGAAGGGGGTATTCTCAAAATCTGGACAATTAATTTCAGAGTGAAGAAGTAGTGTGCTTGGAAAGAATGTACAAAATATTTTATTTTTAGATTGTAATTATGACCTGTGAAAATGTGTCAAATTTTTAAGTGTTCTTGTAATGAACATTTTGATTCGCTATGTATGTTTATCGTATTTTTCGTAATGAACAAGTCAAATTTTCCAAATTTTTGGTAATACTTCTTTGCGTCTCATAGAGTCTCAGAGCATAAACCCGAACTATTATACTCCTTCAAACCACACTCAGTTCTAACTGCAAGACGCAAGAGTCTCGCAGGCTTAGTCTTGTTCTTGCTCAAGTCTTGCACGGTTAGTCTTGGTCTTGGTCTTGCAAAAATTAGGCAGTCTTGGTCTTGGTATCGATCTTGCAAAAATGCAAGAACAAGACCAATTTTGGGCAACACTAACTACTACTATCGGTTTACAGCGTTCTCCGACGCCTTCCGACTTACCGCCATTCTTCTGTATTCAACCATAAGTCTCGAGGGATTTCTCTTTCCTATATTTCTTTTTTAATTCCCTCTCTCCAGCTTCTTCTCGGTCTTCCTCTTTTCCTTCTCCCTTGTGGTGTCCATGTCAAAATCTGTTTTAGAATCTTGTCATCTGGCATTCTCTGTACATGGCCGTATTAACTGTTTTGATTTGCCTGCTGCTCTTTTCCAGAAGTCCATTTCTGTTGCTAGTAACAGTTTTCCTGTTCTTTGTTTCATTGGCCAAACTTCACTGCCATATGTGATTACACTTTTAAGTATGGTGTTGTATATGAGGTCGTATACGTTCATCATGGATATGACTTTTATACCAGGTATGTTTCTATCTTTTATAGCAGCATCGAGTGTTCCATCTTGAGTTATCTTTATACCCAAGTACTTGTTTTCATCACTAAAGTTTCTAATTTCTACCCCATCGTCTAATATAATGGATTTTTTTGTCTCTTCAATACACATGGCTTCAGTTTTCTTAATGTTGACTTTGAGACTTCATTTGTTATATTCTTCTATTAGCTTCCGAGTCATGTAACTCAAGTCGTCATGATCCTGGGCAATCAGTATTTGATTTGGTACTGATATTTCTTTTACAGTTAACATTTTTTCATTACATATGCGACCACATTCTCTTTTAGATTCCACTAAGAGTAAATTGAGCATTTCATCAGTGAAAAACAATCTCATTGAAGATATAGGTTCATCAGCATAATGCGTTGAGTGGCATGTCTAGTGGGACCTGGCATAGGATTTAGTATATTGATGGATCTAAACAATATACAACGGAATTAGTAAAACCCACAAATTTAGTAAGAAAATATGTATAGCACTAACCTTACACGTGACTGAGGCGGTGGATATTTGCTCCAAACTGTTCTATTGCGAGCAGTAGGTATATTGTAAATCTTCTTGTTCAGGAATTTCATTTTCCGAATTTTCGCTTTCATCTTTGTCATCATCAAACGTAGATACATGATCTTCTTCAGAAATTCTTCGTCTACTAACTCTTCATCACTAGTGACGGTTTCTAACTTGGTAGATTCATCTTCATTTTCTGAGTCTTCTTCAGGGATTTTTTGTAATTACTTTTCCGTGAGTCCTTTCCTGAAGCCCATTTTTCAGCAAGCACTTATTATTCCGTTTTTCACAAATGATTGTACACCACACTCTCAACTCTAAATTTCTAGCGATCAGATCTGGTTCAACACTGAAGATACTCGACAAACACTTCCGAAATTAGAATCCATAAAATCTAATTACCCTTCTCAGACAAATAAACAAAAAAAAAACATCACGTACATTTGGAAACACTTCTGGATACAGGTGGACCCATAAACAACATATGTGTTTCTTCCATTTCAAAGAAAACCAAACTGATATTTTAAAACGCAAATACGTTAAATTGTATATAGACCTTATTTTAAGGATATCATGAAACATCACGTCTCAGATTT